TTCCCGCACTGAAGCCTTGGCCCCGGGAGCAGCTGCTCACAGCCCTGACGGGGCCCCGGCCAGGAGGGCTCGGCAGCGCTCGGCCAGGAACCCCCGTTAGAGTGCCCGAGGAGCGAACGCCGCCGTTCCACGCATCCCTGCGGGGTGGAAACCGGCACCCTGGTGCACTTCAGGGATTCAGGCTGAGTCGGAGGTTTACAGAGTCTGCATACACCTCAAACCTATTTCCTAACAAATCTTGAGTGCCCCGGAATTCCCTGAAGTGTCCAAGGCCAGGTTGGACAGGGCTTGGAGCAACCTGGGATGGTGAAAGGTGTCCCTGCCCGTGGCAGGGGATGGCACTGGATGGGCTCTCGGGTCCCTTCCAACCCAAACCATCCTGTGGTGCTCTGACAATCAAATACCAGCATGAACCAGTACCTGTTGTTTTTCCACCTCATTTCTCTAATAACTTTGACCCTACACAGAAGTTAAATGCAGAGGCAGGAGGCTGGAACAAGAGGGGCTTCCAGGTCCCTTCCACCCCAAGCCAGTCTGTGATTCCATCGGGAGTTCACTAGGAAAGTCACGTTTCTCCAAACTGCCTCCAAATTTTTCTGGGGAGCCTGACTCAAAATTGAATTTAGTTTCTTCACACCTCAGAGGCCGCAGAGAAACGCAATTACTGGTGGAGTGATTCCAAGACATAAGAACCCTTTTGTGGAAAAAAAGGAGGTCTCAGCTTCGTCATTCCAAGTCAGAGGTAAAGGGATGTGCACTCCGCAGCAAGAGTGCAGCGAGGTTGATTCACACACATTTGGCCACGGGGCCACCTCAGCAAAGTTCTGGATTTGTTCTTAATCCACCAGTGAACTTTACAGACACCACTGGGACTACCTAAAATTACGTTACATTTTTACACTATTTCTTATACTTCAGCAGACTCTGAGCACAGAGGAAACCCAGAAGAGCCAGACACATTTCTAGGTATGTTTATTAGACCAGGAATGCCACTGCACAAGTGGTAATCAGGGAATAAATGCCATTACAGGACCATTTTCTCAGTGAAAGTTCAGACCAGTTCATTAGAAGCAGAGGCTGTTACTCCCTCCATTCTCTTGGAGTGATTTTGCCAACAGGTGACAAGCCCCACTCAATTCCAAGCTGTGTTACCACCTGTAAGAGCATAAAACCCAAGATTTACTAACTCTGAAATCAAGGAAACCTTCCAATAGAGGGCTATTTCTACTGTTTTCGGTTTAGATTTCTTGCATTAGAACATGACATCTCATTAATTTTCTAATAAAGCAAGTGGAATATATTTATATTGAACAATATTTAAATATTTCAGCTTTCTATTACTAAATACCCACTTGTAGCACAAAGAACCTGGAATTTAAAATCACCATACTGACATGTTAATCTAGAAATTTTTCTGCTAAAACCCATACCTGTATGGGTTAGATATCCCAAGTAAAACAGAGATCACTTGTGTTTCTCACACATTTTCAAAGCAGGCAATAGACTGACACGGAAATTTGTGTAACAACTCAAAAATCAAGACATGAACTAAGACAACTTTCACCTCTGTCACATCTCTCTTCCCTTACAGAAGCAGCTCCTGAATTCTGACCACTTAACTTATTTCAAACAAGCAAGCCTTCGTGACACTTGATACCTCTGAAGTTCCCAGCTGGAGTCACAACTGAGCAGTGCAAAAACCAACTTACATATCCCCAGACAGAGGTGAAAACGGCAGCTCCACCAAGGAGGACCAAGTTCCCATATTTATCGTGGAAGTTCGGCTCGTGCTTGCGATGAGCTTGTCTGACTGCAGTGTGCTGGATGCCACGAGCTAAGGAGCGTTAAAGAGAAGCACAGAAATCAACTGAAACACACACTCAAACTGTTCACAGTCCTCGTTTTCCACCAACAGAGAGGAAAGCATTAGCATTAAAAGACTAAAAAAGGCTGAAAAAAATTTAAGCTTTTGGACTTAGAACTGTGGAATGGCTCCAAAACAAAGGATATGCACAGATCCTTGATTTTTTAAATTTTTTTTCACTCTCTCAATTTCTCACTAGAAAGTCTAATTCCAGTTTAAAAAAAAAAAATCCTCTGAGTTACCTTTTTCATTGATATGTTTTGTCTGGGCCTTCCATGTGTTTCTCTCATAAAATATTTTGCTTAGCATATAACATTTTCAGATTTCCATATATATACACATTTATCCTGTCAGTATGGGTACTAATATAAGCATTTTCAGGATGAAGTTCACCATCAAATTATGGGGTTGAAGATAGGAGGTATGGGTAACACCTTCCTCATTCTTTAAGGATTTTTTAAAGGAGGAGAGGGAGGTAAAGAAAGAAGTGGAAATAACTGCAGACATGAAATAAATAACAGAGAATAAAATACAAAAAGGCATCTTCAGATGATGTACATTATAAATGTACACTATAAAGGCTACATTTATTAAGGAGAAGACAACAGTGAGGAATCAAACCAGCAATAAAACAGAGATTGTTTATAGTTGTGTACAAAGCCTTTGATGAGAGTGATGTGCATAAATACAGACTTTACAAACTATAATCTTTTAGTTCCAGGTCAGTGCTCTGCACTGACCCAGCCATGAATAGAGGAGATGATGGCGATACACATAATGTTATTACAGCCCTCTGTGAGGCTGAACAAGGGTTTTTTAAAACATAAAAAAGCCTGAATATCTACCGAGACACGTTTAAGTGCAAGCACGTCGGGCTAAGCACATCATGAACCAGGCCCAGATTTTAGAGGACCAGGTTAAGCACTGGGGAATCTGCATCATCAAAGAGGTAACTTTAACCTTGAGTTTAAGGTATAGGCATTGACTATGCTTTGTCACCTCAGGTTACAAGATCGGATGTGCCTTCAGTTACAAGGAAAAAAAAGAGCCGAGAAAGGGAATCCAAGGTCAAAAAGCAACTAGGAGATTAAAGAGTCAGAGAAAAAAAAAAAAAAAAAAGTCAGGAGGCGAAGGACGCCAGAGCCGCCCGAGCCCCTGGGATGCCCTCACGACCCTCCCGGGAGCGCAGCGAGCCGGGGGCTGTGAGGGACAGACCCGACAGGGAAGGGCACAGACCCGGGGGAAACCCCCCGCGGGACCCCCCAGAGCCGCCCCCGTCCTTACCGGCGAGGTTGAGCGCGGCCCTGGCCACGGGGAGCATGGTGCGAGCGGAGCGCGTACCCTTCACGGCGCTCAAGAACAAAATGGTCGCGGCGGAAGTGGCGGCGGGCGGGGGCCTGTGGGTAACGCCGAGCTCCTCCTCGCTGCGGCCGCAGCTCCGCGGCCGCCACACAGAGCGGGCTTACCCGGCGGCTCCCCGGGACTTCCCGGCACGGACGGGCTCTCCCTGAGAGCTCGGGGGATGCAGCAGCAGGCGCGGCCCTGACAAGTCGGGTAAGGGTGTCCCGGCCGCGGGAGCTGCCGCAGTGTCAGGATGGCCGAGTGGTCTAAGGCGCCAGACTCAAGGCGTGCCGCGCCTTCCCGCCGCGGGTTTGGGTGTTCTGGTCTCCGTATGGAGGCGTGGGTTCGAATCCCACTTCTGACACCACTTTTTTCATTTCCCCCGTTTTTAAATGTGTGAATTGGAACGCACGAAAGGGCCGAGCTGCTAACGCCAAGGATTTTAGTGCGAATAGAAATCAGAAATCATTTTCAGAGTGTGCTCGAGTAGACAAATAAAACCCGAAGCGTGAGTAAACCGCCATCTGTCTGTGGCGATGTTGTTTCAGAGCCATAACCCATCACACACCAGCTGAGGAATACCCCAGTGCGGTTACAATTTTAACAATATTTGTCACACAACCCAATGGCTGCAAACTAAAACCCAGTAAGTTCCACCTCAACGTGAGGAAAAACTTTACACTGACAATGGCAGAGCAGCGGAACAGGTTGCCCAGGGAGGGCAAGGATTGTCCCCCTCTGGAGACATTCAAAACCCACCTGGACAGTTCCTGTTGTTGCAAAATGTGGAATATGTAAAATTTCTTAAGCAAGGATGTTCTTTGATGTTTGATCTCTGGATACTTTCAAGCCTAATCAACAAGAAGGAGATTTAATCAGTGAAACAGGGAGTAGCCAACAAGCTACTGTAAGTGATGTCCATGTGTTAGAAAAACAAATTACTTGTTGGTAGAATTGCGTTGTTGAGGTTTAGGGCTCCACATGCTTCAATGACCTCACACCTTTGGGTAGGTTAAAAAAGCTTCTGAAGATGGATGTACCACAGATAGTGGGCACAAAGAATACAAAATTTACACAAGGACATCTGGCAGAATTCCCAAGAAAAGGAAAGAAACTAATAAACCCAACTCAGCAACTGTGCTGCATCAGCTCCGACTGGGTGAAAGGTGATTCCGGCAGGGGCAGATCATGGCCACGACTCACAGACCACTGAGCTAAGAAACGCACCAACCCAAAAGAAGAGAAAAACTGAGCATGTGGACTAATTAACATGAGGAGAGAATCATTAACTAATAGAATATTAATTAATAAGAGACTACATAACTTGTGGCCTCAGAACACTAATTCATTTGTTTGCTGAAATGTATAAATAGTAAAAAGTTTTGATAGCTGGGGTGCTCGACAGCACCTGGTACCCATGGCTGCACAACTCCGAAACGAATAATCAGCGTCTCTCCCGCGCGTGTCATTACTGGCTCGTTGCAGAGCGGGTAACGAATCCGATTTCCGTGGACAACACCGTGTCAGCAGTTCAGAACACGCCGGCGGGGGCTGTACCGGCCGATGTGTAGCGCTGCCCCGCGCTCCGTGCCGTGCCGTGCCGTGTGAGGGGCGCCGGGCAGGGCGGGCTCGGGGGCGGCGCCGCCATCGCTCCCCTCCCTCAGGCCGCGCGCGCCCTCCCCTCAGGGCTCCGCCAATGGCGCGGCTCCAGCTCGGCGCGCGCCCGCAGGCTCAGCCAATGGGAGGCCGGCGCGGGCCGGCGGGGCGGGGCGGAGCGGGGCCGGGCGGAGCGGGGCGGAGCGGGGCGGCCATGGCGGCGCTGTCGGTGCCGGTGCTGCTCGGGGCGGTGCTGCTGCTCTTGGGCTGCCGCGGGCCCGGCGCCGAGGGCCAGCGGCGGAAGGAGGTGAGAGCCCGCTGGGAGCCTCCTGGGCAGCTGCTGGGGCGGGTTCCTACCGGGCCGGGGGGGCTCAGGGCAGGGCCCGGCGGGGCGGCCCGCCCTCACAGCGGCTCCTCGCCCTCAGGCGCGGCCGGCTCTGAGGGGAACCTGCAGGCGCGGCTGCGACCGGGTGTCTTTAATTCCAGGTTCTTCAGTTCTCGTTAGGAGCACTGTTCGAGTGTTGTCTTCCTTCTATTGGGCGGGGAGGGTGGGTGAGCTTTGGTTGTAATGACGAAGGTGCAACTTATTTCCACACTTTTAACTCCTAGGATTTGGAAAGATCCGTCTGTATAAGTGTTTGTACTTGTGTCAGTTTTATTTATATACGTCTATATCTATTTATGCTTGTGTCAGTGGGATTCTTGGGGCTGTGCAGGGCCAGGAGTTGCACTTTGATGGTCCTACTGGGTCTCTCCAACGGAGGATATTCTGTGATTGTTTACCCTAAAGTATTTATCTCGAGAAGGGTTTTAATAAAGAGCAGAGGAGTGCTTTATGGTAAGTGTAACATTTGGGAGTCTGTCAGTCTAATACATCTTTGTATGATGTTACAGAATTGGTTTGCTCCTTTTTAAGGAATGCTTTGGTGTTGAGCACTCCTGAGTTCTTCAGATACGTCCTGAATCATATTTTTTTTTTCCAGCAATGTTGAAAATGAGATGTTGAGCTCACTACTGTAGAGCTTCAGTCTCTGGTGTTGATTCCAATGTGAGTGCCTAAAGCATCTGTGAATGCCTTCCAGGGTCTTAATGAAGTATCCCATGGTCTGGCTGGTGTTGTTGGGAAATACAGCGCACATATTTGTTATATCAGATCTGAAAACCTTCAAGATTGTACGATGAGGCTGGCAAAAAGAAGCAGTGATGTTCCTCTGACTTCATTTTCAGATGGTGTTATCAGAAAAAGTGAACCAGCTGATGGAGTGGGCCAGTAAAAGATCGGTTATCCGAATGAACGGAGACAAATTCCGACGCCTTGTGAAGGCACCACCCAGAAATTACTCGGTGATTGTGATGTTCACTGCTCTTCAGCCTCACAGACAGTGTGTTGTGTGCAAGTATGGGCTCCATTTAGTCCTATCTTAGAACTTGAAAGTCATCCGATGCTTTGTAGGAAATGAAATTTAAGAATAGGGTTGAACTTTCACATGTGTGTAGGAGGAATGTAAATGGCAAGTTATAATAGGATTGTCTTTGAAATTTAATGTGTGGGGATACGTGTGTAGTGTGTATGTGGGAAAACAGCATAATCCTTAGTTTATCTCCCTCCTAAAATATAATCCCTGCTTAGCAGAAACAGTATTTACACTGATAACTTCTGGAGACAAACAGGGTGAAAGCTCAACTTTCCTGGCACGAGCTGGCTGAAGAAACATTTGTAGAAATACTGCTGGCCATGTAGCATGTAGCCTGTTTGGCACTTATTTATTTACAGTTATAATTTCCTGGATCTTTAACCACATTATGGCTTTCCTGTATTAATCTGGAGGTGGCAGAGGCCTGTGAGGGTGATTTTCATACCTAGTCAGATGAAATTACTGGTTTGCCATCCTCTGACGTGGAAAGGAGAGCACACCTGGCCGTGTTTTGGTGCTCTGTGGACAAGCAAATCAGGAGCAGCTGGGTTCTGTTTCACATTTCAATTAGAAGTTACCTCTGCTTGTGTTCACGGACTCCACAGATCTTGCATTTAAAAAAGCAGCAGTGCCAAACGCTTCACCTGACTGTAGATGAGAGTTTGAGCTAAATTTTTTTCTTTAATTCTGAAACCAAACCTTCCTTTTTAGCAGTAGAAAATGAGGTGGGGGGTGGTGTGGGATGCACCTCTGAATGGGGTGGGTGGGCACAGTCACCTCAGCTTTATAACCTGTGTTCTGGACAAAGCCATGATCCACCATCTCTCTTGGTGTGTTTTCCAGGCAAGCTGATGAGGAATACCAGATTCTGGCAAACTCCTGGAGATACTCCAGTGCATTTACCAACAAGATTTTTTTTGCTATGGTAGATTTTGATGAAGGCTCAGATGTGTTTCAGATGGTAATGTTTTTCTCTTTCTCTGCTAACACTGTTTTTAAGTTGGGTTTTGGGCAAGAAGGTAAAGATGTATACAAAATGGAGTGTTAGAGTAATTAAAGGAATGAAAAGTTAGAAGCTGCCATTCAGAATAGCAGAGCAAAGGACTGGAGAATGGAATTGGCAGGAAAATTAGCAGAACTGATAGATCTGGAATAGGCACAAGGAATGGATTGGTTTCTCTGACTGTTCTTTTTTTTCCTGAGTTTGTCTCGTGTAACTCTTAATGGAATTCTCCTGTGGTACATGAAGAGCCAGGATATAAAGCATTGATGTCACTAAAAACATCTATTGCAATTTTTAAATTTAGTAGAGAAGGCTTTTGGTATGGTTTAACTAATTTCTTTTCAAGTACCCAGTCATTTTTCTCTTGTATTAACATTATGTTACCACATTTTTTGTAAAGGTGTGAGAACATTCCATGTACACTTGGAATTGTAGGTCACTTTAGTAGTTCATTGTAGTCTTGTAGGTGTTAACTTCTTTTTTGTAAGACATACTAATGTCTATTTAAAAGCTACAGTTCAGGCAATGATATTTTATGAAATGGAAGCTTTTGGACTGGAGAGTTGAAGAGGGATGTCTTTTTTCTTATTCCTGTTAATTTTTTCCTCAGTATTAAATTAAGAATGCATTCATCAGGGTATGGCCTTTATAGACTTGTAGAATCATGTATTCCTATATTGCAGATTTCTTTATTAAAAGCAGAATTTAGAGAAGAAACAGATGAAAAAAGTGTATGAAACACAGAAATACAAGCTGTGTGCTGCTTTTACTTTGTTTTTAAAAAAGTAATTGTCGGTTAAAGCAAGGAGTGACTTTTTCTGATTCAATGAGTGCCAACGCAGCAAGATAGGTACGGGATAGAGTTCCCAAGAGACCTTCTCACGGTGCTGTGTTCCCTGTGAACTTCCTCCATGCAGCTCAACATGAACTCTGCTCCCACCTTCATCAACTTCCCGGCCAAGGGCAAGCCCAAGCGGGGCGACACGTACGAGCTGCAGGTGCGCGGCTTCGCGGCGGAGCAGCTGGCACGCTGGGTGGCTGACAGGACAGACGTCCACGTGAGTACACACACACACCCCTGCAGCTCTGCCTTCCCCTGCAGTGCTGTGACATGGGTCACTTGTGTTCTGTGCCTGGTCATCTGCTCTAAAAAGAGCTCTTGTCTACAACACCTAGTTCAGACACGTGACTGCATCGTTGCATTTCCTCGCGTTCTCTTCCGATGTTGTGTGTCAGTCTGTACTTGAGATGGTAAAACTCATCTCCTTCCTCACTCTTCTGTTCCTGTGGAAGAAAACCAGTCTTTTAACAGGGTAAAGGTGTGTCAAACTGAAGTTACAGTAGTGGGGGAAGAAGCTTTACTTACTTCCCCGGTCAGATTTACTACATAAAAACATTTGTGTGCATGATGGTTTTCCCACTCCAATACGTTGTGAGGCTTGTTGGCAGGAGTGCATCTGCAGTGTTTAATCCTCCTGAGAGAAAACGATTGCCCTGTGCTCTGCTCAGATCCGTGTGATCAGGCCCCCGAACTACGCGGGGCCGCTGATGCTGGGGCTGCTGCTGGCTGTCATCGGGGGCCTCGTGTACCTGCGGGGCAGCAACCTGGACTTCCTCTACAACAAAACTGGCTGGGCCTTTGCTGCTTTGGTGAGTCACCACAGCCCCTGGCTGTCCCTTGTCGTGAGTTTGTAGCAATTCAGGTCTTCAAAAGCTTCTGTATTTAAAGATGCTTAACGGAGCGGAAACGAGGTGCAGTTAATTTTACTTTTTGGGAGACTGATAGTATTATTTGATCTCGGTCCTTTCACCTCAGTGAATGTTTGATTAGATGCCTTTTGCACAAATAAAAGGTAGGACGATGCCTAGCCTAAGGTTGTGTTCCAAACCAGTGTGTTTTGGTACAAAATGAAAAGATACTGGGTTAAATTTAGGGAAAAATTCCTTATAAAATAGTGTTTCTCCTTTCCTTTTCAGTGTTTTGTGTTAGCAATGACATCAGGCCAGATGTGGAACCACATTAGAGGCCCCCCCTATGCTCATAAGAACCCCCATACAGGACAAGTGGTGAGTCTGGGCTTTATTTTCTTTTCTGCATTTCTGTTGTATTTCTGCAGAATAAGGCTGAGACTAAGAGACAAATCAGAGTTCAGATTCTCTGCTTGGCTTCTTTGTGAGCGAGTGAGGTTCACCCCTGCTGCAGTGAGCAGGGCAAATCAACATGTCTTGTACATATGTTGCATCTCCCACAATGAAGGGATGTGATAGTTCTAAATTGCTAACAGCAAAATAAAGGTGTTTGTGTCATGTCTTACGTGATAAACAACCCTACTGCTGGGCCTGGCAAATTTATCTTCAACTTGGCCATGTTAACTATAGACCCATTGAATGACCTCCATATAAAAGCATCTTTCTTCGGGATTCTTGAGGTAAATTAATTTTTAGTGACCTCAGATTGTGAAATCTCTTTCTTGGGAAAAATGTGTTTTAACGTAATTTGAAATGCCCTGCTCTGTTTGTAATACAGAATGAGATGCACTGCAAAAGCAGTCAGAACCTTTTGAGAGCATTGCATCTCCTCAGGTGCTCACATGTCACATACTGGCTTTACTGATGCTTTTACTCAGGAAATTAATTGGGTGAAACGTCCTTTTGTGTCTGGTTAGATGGGTCAGGCCCTCTTTATACTTCCATGGAAATTGGAACTGCTTACCAAACCTTTTGTTTCCTGCTTAGGTACAACATCACAAACACAGTAATGTAGATCTGCCCATAAAGGATTCAAAACCAGTATTCTTTCACAAATTTCAATCTGTGTGTTAACCCTGTTGGTTAGTAAACTATTAATGTGAATAGAACTGAGCCAAGTTACTAAATGGAAGTTCTCATTTCAAGTGTTTCCTTGAGAACACTTCCTCTTATTTCTTCTGTTTACCTCATCCCTCAGCTTTCCTGAGACTGAAGAACGAAGCTCCAGTGGCATTGGTAGTGATGTTGCTTTTCTTGATATGCCATGAAAAAGCTTTCAAGTGCTTGGTTCTGGAGCCCAGCGAGGCAGGGTCACATGGAGCTGCTGCTCAGCTTAGTGACAGTGAGCATGGAGTCAGGGAATGGGTCAGGTTTGGATCACTGTGGGTGCAGCAGGGCCCAGTCATGGTGTGGGCCCAGCTAAACAGATAACCTGGACCATGAAGGCAGCACCTGCACTTGCACATCATCTGAGTGGTACTTGAGGCTGGTTGTCCATGTTAATAGAAGGAAGATTTTTGGTGCTGTCACAATTCCCCCCCCCCCAAAATCAGTGGTCAGCAGTTGAAATCGCTTGTGCTCCAACTTGTGCTCAGTCTCCTGAAAGAAACTTGCAGAAAGAACCCAGTTCCAGGCTCTGCAGATGTTATTAATATGTCAAAGTCCACCCCAGTCTCTTCTAAATTCAGTTATTGTGTCTCTTACAGAATTATATCCATGGAAGCAGCCAAGCCCAGTTTGTGGCAGAGACCCACATTGTCCTGCTGTTCAGTATCCTTCCTGTGAGAAGCAGGTGGATGATTTTTTGGTCCCTTACGCTGCTGCCTCTTCTCTGGTACTTTGTCATGGCTGTAACTGGCACCTACAGCTGATGCAGGAGCTTGTAGAGCCTTCCTGCATTGACAGCTCTGCCTTTCCTGTGCCTGTGATCTTTCAGTTGAATAGAAAAATGTTTGCAGCTTTCTCACCACTTTTTGCTTAATTACCAAACTGAATACAGCCTTAAAGGTGTGGATCTCTGTGGAATCAGAAGATTCTTCAGGATAACCCCTGTTCCTCTGAATGTCTTCAGTCTCCCTAATTTCTTGCTTTGATGTCGAGTTCATTCCTCTGTTACTGAACTTTCTTCTTTTATTTCTTTTATTTCTTAGCTTACCTTCTTTACTAACAATTTGCTAACCTTCTTTACTAACAAAATGCTACTTTTGTTCCACTGGATTCACTATTTTGCTTTGCTAGGATTCGTTCTTTGCAAATGTCAGATTTTTTTGTGTTCTCTGTGCTTCCTTAATTTTACAAGCTTTAATTTTTTTTTAATGGAAGAATTAGAAGAGAGATCTTGCTACTTGAAAGATAGTCAGTTAGATTAAATACTGTGTGTGTTTTATTTGTTCTGTTAGCTGAGTAAAATGCATGGGCTGAATTCCTTTAGGGATTTTCCAGTGGAGCAGGAGTGGACTGAGCTCTCTGGAAAGGAGTGTTGCTTCTTTACAAGCTGAGATAATAAATGCATGGTTTTAATTTTTTCCTCAAGACCTTCCAGTTCATATTTTAACCTTTGCATTTATCTTCCCTTAAAAGTTGATATCATGAATACTTTCCCATTGCTTTTTTTCCCCCCATAGTTACTGGTTTGGCTGGGAAGTCTTTGATTTTTCCAGTGAGTTTTAATGCTCCAGGTATGGTGTGGGAGCTGAATTCAGGAGATTAGGAATGTATTGATTTGAGTCTATTGAACTTTGTTGGTTTATCCTTAAACAGTGTTTGTAGATGGTGGTGTCACTTTAGGAATGGTCCTTCTCCATGAAGCTGCTACTTCTGACATGGATGTGGGGAAAAGGAAGAGTAAGTGCTGCTGCTTTTCTCTCTGAGGGAAGGCACGTTCAGTAAAGGTGTTTGATGTGCTATTTAACAGAAATGCTTTTGCACTCTGGGGTTTTCTGCACTTTCCACCACTAAGCCAAAGAGAATCCTTTGTATTTTCGACAGTGTTTGCAGTTGCTTAGCAAATTGCAAGGTAAACTCCGAGCCCACTCGGCAGATGGGGAGATCTCAAGATGCTTTGCAACACTTTGCTTAGCAAGGGAGAAAAGAAGGGACTGTTTTCTTAAAGCAGCTGTATAAAATTGATTCACAGAAGGAATTTGAAAGAAAATGGGCTGTCCCTGTGCCTCTCTTGCAGTCATGTGCATTGCTGGGATTGGCTTGGTGGTGTTGTTCTTCAGCTGGTTGCTGTCTGTCTTCAGATCCAAGTACCACGGCTACCCCTACAGGTACGGCACCAGAAACACCAGAATTTGGGGGATACTGGGATTTTTTTTTCGTGCCATTGCATGTAATAGAACATTTCTATTTTCATCATGATATTTCAACCAGTTTACACTGAAAACAAGTGGTTTTTTTCCTCCACTTTTCTTTCTTCCATATTCATACATCTTGATTATTAATCCTTGTTTGTGAGAACAAGGAGGTTTCCTGATGCTTTAAAGCTTCCTACATTTTGGATTGCTTCTGTAAGGAGTCTACTACTATTAATTGGCTGCTTTCTATACATATATGGTCAGTAATAGATATCTTAAATGTGCTTACTACCTTTTATGCATTTTGAAGGAATAAATGCATGCTGAGGGACCAGCTTCTAATCATTTCACCATCTGCTAGGAGTTCAATTTGTCAGGAAGGCTAATCTCATAGGCAGATATCATCTCCTTTCTATGAGAAATCAGTTTTTATTGAAAAACATCTAAACAATAAAACTTGTTATTTAATGAAGATGTTTCTCAAGACCAGAAAAGGTCTGAACTTATTGCCTATTTAGTAGCTGGTCAGCTTTTATTCTGGTCTGTGCAATGACTTTTTGTACTCCTGCTAACTTTGTTGCAGGGAAGATGGGGATGTCTCTGTATCTGAGTTACTACAAAACACACTTCTGAGCAACTGCACAGCTGTTTTTGTTGTAGCTGCATCAGGCCCAGTCTCTCACTCTGGTTTTCTTGGCGTAGCTGGCAGCTGAGTGGAACATTGCACACCTTTTCTTTTCATACAAAATGAATAAGAACGTTTGTTATTTTGTTGTTGCAGTTTCCTGATGAGTTAAAGGATTGCAGAGTCTGGGACGTCAGGAAGGTGGTGGCTCTGAAGTTGGGTGGAATGGAATGAAGAGCTGAATGTGTGGTTCGTGCTACCTCTGCTTACACTGACCGAGATAGTGAAACACTGAACCAAAGACCACGTGTAGTGCCTTAAAGAAAACAAGCAATTTGCTCTGAAGGACGCAGAGTATTAAGATGCAATCTCTCTTTCTCAAGCTTTACATCTTCTTAAGCAACTCTCCTTCTAGTGAAATTCAAAATGTAATGCTTAAAACTACATTTCCATAGACTAACTAGAAACAGTACTTTAAATTCACTGGTATAATCTGTGCTTTTCCCCTCAAATATTTTTCACTTTATTTCCTGTTTATGCATAGCAGGTGACAGCAGCATCTCTGTCAGGCCTTTTCATGGTTGAGGAAACACCATCATGTACCTGGATATCTTCTCCTTCAGTCTGTGTGCAACCCTTGGAGCATACTCCTGACTCCAGTGTGGAATGTGCCTATCCTAGAGCTGTATCTCACTTTCGGGGAGACTTCTTAACTGCTGTATGATGCAAGAGGTTGTTCCACAGATGAAGGGAGAATTTTCAGCAGGTAGAACTGAGTTAATAATTCAGTCATTCATTAAAAACTTTTTTTGCCAAATGCTGAAACTGCAACGTTTAAGTTGTAAACTGAGTCTCAGCTGAAAAAAAAATGTTCTTATACTGACCAACACACACTCAAAAATACAACCCAAAACTACAAAGGTAACTGGCTGTGTGTGGCATGAATTAAAATTGCTAACTGGCTTTCAAGTTACTGCTCAGAGCTCTGACAAAAAACCGACAGATACCAGATTTCTGGTCTCTATGTAAGTTCTTACATTTTCCACTTATTTTCTCCCAAGTTTTTACCCTTGGGGAGGACAGGGGAGAGCGCAGTGATATCTGTGTCCCAGGATAACTGGTGTTCCCCCAGGACAGGTTTGTTAGCCTTACAATTGAATGCATGTGCTTTTTGCTCTCTCCTTTTGTTCTCTCACCTTACAAAGATGCTTTGCCTTAAGAATTCCTGAATGGAAGACCTTGTGCCTCAGCCCGAACTTCACGTGTGCTACGGGAAATCTTCTCAGCCTGGTTCAGTAACACTTCCTTCTGCAGGCTGTGGTGGCCTTGGAGGTTACTAAAAAATATGAGACTTTTGTCTCTTGCTTCTTCCTCTCCCCTGTCTTAAGGGGTTACAGAATTTGGATGCTTTAGATTGAATCTCAAAAAAGGACAATATCGTTCCAAGTAGAATGTTATTCTTATGCATTTATACTAAATTAACACACATCTCAAGTGCCTTAACTTCACTAATTTAGTTGTTTGATGTTTCAACTTGTTGAGATGCATTTTTGTATGCCATACAGAATGACAAGCCTTAGTGGAAGGGATAAATTGTGTGCCTGGCTGGATTTTGGACAAGTTTCAATAAAATTTTTGAGTCTAATCCACGTTCCTGTGTCTTTTGAACTCTAACACGGAACAAACCAAACCAACCTCTTTTCTTCTGTATTGCTTCAATGTGTTAGTGATAGCCTGTCTAGAGTAAGCACCCCCAGGATGGCTGTGTGTGTGAGTGGATGGATGTGTTTGGGTGGGAAATTACAGCCCAGGATCTCACCACCAGGGAGCTGCTCATGTAGCCACCTAATAGCAGAAAGATTGCATGGTTGTGACTGGTCTTTGGCAGCTGTCCTGTGGTGAAAATCTTGGCTTGCTGGAGTCCAAGACAGGTCAGCTAACAGTGTTTCTGGAGGTGGAATCTCATCAGTGCTGTGAATTTGCCTGGAACAACTTGGCACTGCTGTGCCTGTGGCTTATTTTGCTGCCCTGATGGTCAAATGTTCCCAATAAACCTTTAGGCTGGTGGTGCTGCAGTCAGGAGCAGTACAGGTTGAAAGTGGTTTACAGTCTCTTTCGAAGGAAGTAATAGTTTCTCTAAAACTTTCAGAATTGTTTCTAATTCTTCTGACAAGGTGCGTAATTTATTCCCTCCCTCTAAAACCATCTGATTGACATCATGCAGGTGAGTGGTGAAGTCATGTTGGCCTTCCACTTAAAGGTGGTCAAGACACTGAGAGTTTGGGATTTTCCTCTTTTTCCATGCTGACATATGAAATGAAAATAATGTTTCCTTTCCCCAACGATTTTTCTGCTCTCTAGGCTGAATCTGAAGCACGTGGAGGAAGGAACAAGTGTGGTAGTGGAGCAGAAGATCCAAGGGCAGGACCTGTAGCAGGTTTAGAGAGGATGAATTCTAGAAAAATTTGACTTGTGCAGCAGTTGGCAGGTAATGGGCAGCTCTAATTGACCAGAGTGACTCTTTGGGACGCTGGCACTTGCAGCTCACTGGCTGGTGGGACACAGCCTGGACCAGCAGAACAAAGGTGGATGAGGTGATGCATTCGAGATCTGGTGGGGGAAAGCTGGGTATTGCTGAGGCCATCTCCTCACAGGGTGAGTCATTAAACAGCTCAGAAGTGCCCTAAAAGCTCTCCTTGAGAGAACACTTGAAGGGAGGAAATGGTGCATTCTGTAGCTGAAAATGGACTGTGTGGTTTTGTTAATGTGGTTGGCCCCAGAAATTGCTGCTTTCTTCTGCTTTTGAGGTGGAACTGTGGTGTATTCACAAGATATTTTTGAATACTAGCTAGAAATAATTCAGGGAGTTCTCTGAACTAAGTGCAAGGAAAGATAGTAAATTTAATTGGATTAATCTGTGCAATGGTTTGCATTATGTACAATTTGCTGTAAGCTCCTGTCCTCAGACCATTCTTGTGTTCAGCACAGAATGTGCTGCTTCATGAGCCCTGGCACAGGTTGCCCAGAGAAGCTGTGGCTGCCCCATCCCTGAAGTGTCCAAGGCCAGGCTGGACAAGGCTTGGAGCAACCTGGGCTAGTGGAAGGTGTCCCTGCACGTGGCAGGGGGTGGGACTGGATGGGCTTTCAGTTCCAGCCAAACCATTCCATGATTCCATGATGGTGGTGCCCAGTGGTCATTGCTGCATTTAAACCTTGAACGTGCTCCTTGAGCTCTTGAGGGGCAGAACTGCTTAGTCCTGCAGCAAGATGGACGATGTGCTCAGCTCTGTGTCGGTGCCTTCTTGGTGCTCGGGCAATTAACCTTAATTAACCGCCTGGCTGGTGGTGTCTGTGGCCGAGGGTACAGACACAGTCACTGCATTCACATTCACTGTCAGCCACGAGGACAAGAGCAAGTTATGCTTTTTGGCAGGCACTGGGAGGCCCATCCATGTCTTGGGGAGATGATGGCTGGCTGGAGGCTTCAGGAGGTGCTTTTATGGTCACAACTATTCAGTGATTTTACAGCAAGATTTGTTCTGAGCCTCGTTAAAAATGTGTAAAAGTAAGTGTAGCAGGGATTTTTTTGATTCCTGGTCTATATTCCTGGCAAATCCAAATAGGAGTTTTAGAAGTACTGAAGAAAGTCAATTGGTAAACTTTCTAAGCATTTGGAACGTGCAAAGAAAATCAGATGCCTGAATGGCTTGTGCTTGTTTGGATGTGCTGCCCAGGGCATCAGATTACGCCAAATCTCATGGCATTTTGTAGCTAAACTTTGTTGGGAGGAGAGAATGATCTGTAGCATTCCCTTCAAGGTTCACTGGCAGTGGCTCGTGTTAGTCTGGTTTTAAAAATAACCACTTGATAACAGAAAACCACTTAGGCTTAAATCAGGTTTTTTAAGAAGTAAAAATTTACAAGTGCTTTCATCTGCTGCAAGAAACAATTGTCACAGAGGATTTGGAAAAGCACTGGCACTTGGTTTCTGTGTTGGGCCTTGATATTTGCTGCTTTCTCGTGCTGAAAAGGTTCAATTCTCAGCTACAACCCAGTGCTCAAGTGATTCCGTGACATCACTTTGAACTTCACCAAGGGGAATAGAGCAACAGCAAAGCAAGGAGGGAGCATCATCTGCTTTCAGCTTTGTCATGCTTTTTGCCTGATGGATAGAGGAGGAGTTTCATTGCACATAACCTGTTAGCCATTTAACAGCTCAGATCTTGTCCATTCCTCCAGAATTACTTTGGGCATGGTGTTTTATTGGTCTGGGTTAATTGTGCTGCTTTTGTCACAGATAATGTGAAAAAGGTATATCTGTAGTTTGTATTTCTAGGTCAGAAGCACGTCAAGTTATTAAAATATTCTCTTGTCAGGTTATAGCTACACATGTCTTTCAGCCATTTTCCTTAAAAGTAGGCTAAAATGTACTTAAGCAAACTAATTACTGTCATTATGAAAAGAACTGATCGGTGTGATGAGACTTTCCAGTGGCCCTTGGTTTGTCCTGTGAATCCTGGTTGTCCAAGGTCTGCTGGAGCAGGCAGGGCTGTGGCAGTGCTGGGGGAGGGGGGTCTGGGCCAGCTTTGCTGGGTGGAGGGCTGGTGGGTGGGCAAAGTGTTTCCCTGTAGATGCTCTTGGTATCTGTCACACAGATTTCAGTGTGCTCCCACCATCTGCTTTGTGACAACCCCGTGATAATGTCAGGGTTTGTCTTCTGGAGTAATTGCTGGGAGATGGAAGCATTTCCACTTCTATCTCAGACCTTTCCTCATGTTAGGATCCCTTTTTCATGTGTGACTTGAGATAGAAGGTGTGAATTGGAGACAATTAAATTGGGGTTTTAAACTGCTTTCAAATACCTTTTTCCATCTCCCGAGGAAATAATAATAGAAGAATAAAATATCCCAGAGTAATAGTAATGAAGCTGTGTTGTTATGCTAAATCAGTCAGATATTTGTCAGCATTAGGGACTAAATCCCTTGAGGAGGAAAATGAGTGTTTTGTGTTCTTACTTTAATCACACAGTTGGAATCCTAATGCAGAGCTAAGAGCAGGCAATGCTTCCGGTTTCCTTCATCTGACTGGTGGCAAAAACACTGAATTCCTTTTTACAGTTTTGGATGGAATTTGTAACAGTGAGTTAAGAGGGATTCAGTTTTTCCTTCTGGAAATGGAGTGAGAATGCAGGCAACCTTTGGTCTTCTCCAGGTCCAGCATTGGCCACGAGATAAATTTGGTAAAAAGTTGCAGTTAAACCTCTGGTATTACTAAATTCAGCAATTACAGGATGCAGCTCTTGGGTAAAACCTTACATTTCTAAAAGAAATTGTGTTTAGACCCACTTGTAGGAGAATCTCCCTGGGATGTGTGAGCTTGTACGTGCTGAGGTGTGAAAGTGCCGTTGATTCTGATATTGTTGCCTCTGCAGATGAAAAGGATGTTTAAGGATGATTTGCTTGGGTGTTTTCTCATGTTTCATACATTGTTTTACGAACACAGGTGAGTGGGTGCATTTTATTTTTTCTTTAGTTCCTGCAGAAAAACATTAATTTTCAAAACTGGTTTTCTTTTTTATAATGAGTAAATAACACTCGTCACCTCTTTGAGATTCTGTGTGATACTGGACGGGGTTTTGGTGGTCGGTTCTGTTTTGGTCATGTGGGGAGATGGAAGTTCACACAAAACCTCAGCCAGTGGAGTGTGGTCACCTTGTCATGAAAGTCTGGGACTGCTTTCCCTTGGAACAGGGCTGTGTTCCAGTCCCCCTCCTTTCCCACGGAACACCTGACAGGAGTGTAGAAGCTGCTGGTCATTGAGCTGATCCCTGAAGGGCTGAGGGTGATCCCTGTGGAGGAGGAGGGTGGCTCTGGAGCTGTTACTGGAGGGCAGGCTCTAACTCTGAGTAGCTGTGTCACTCTTTGTGAGGGTGCTGTTTTTAACCGCTGTGCTCCACTTGCTGCAGCTGAGTTGGTGTTGCAGAGTGGCCCAGGCAGTGGCCCCTGTGCTGCAGTGGCTCCTGAGGACACCAGCTCTGTCCCTATATCCATCCCATCCAGGGTTGGGCAGTGCCAGCAGCTCTGTCCCTGTGTCCATCCTGGCCTGGGTAGTGCCAGCAGCTCTGTCCCCGTGTCCATCCCATCCAGGCTGGGCAGTGCCAGCAGCTCTGTCCCCGTGTCCATCCCATCCAGGCTGGGCAGTGCCAGCAGCTCTGTCCCCGTGTCCATCCCATCCTGGCCTGAGCAATGCCACCAGCTCTGTCCCCGTGTCCATCCCATCCAGGCTGGGCAGTGCCAGCAGCTCTGTCCCCGTGTCCATCCTGCTGGGCAGTGCCAGCAGTTCTGTCCCCGTGTCCATCCTGGCCAGGCAGTGCCAGCAGCTCTGTCCCTGTGTCCATCCCATCCAGGGCCGGGTGATGCCAGCAGCTCTGTCCCCGTGTCCATCCCATCCAGGGCCAGGCAGTGCCAGCAGTCTGTCCCCGTGTCCATCCTGGCCAGGCAGTGCCAGCAGCTCTGTCCATGTGTCCATCCCATCCAGGGCCAGGCAGTGCCAGCAGCTCTGTCCATGTGTCCATCCCATCCAGGGCCAGGCAGTGCCAGCAGCTCTGTCCATGTGTCCATCCCATCCTGGCCAGGCGGTGCCAGC